TTCATATTAATATATTAGAACTTAAAATATATTAATAAATCATGAATATCCTTTTCTCAAAAGTCCATCCTTCAATTGTTCCGGTGCCATGCAACCCAAATGGACCATGCTACTCTCGAGTCAAGTACATAACAATTATAGTTATGGGTTTAGACACTAAATCCAACAGTCTCCCACTTGGATAAGTCTAATAACTATAACTGCAAGTACGACTTAGAACACCGAGTAGCAATCGTAGCTCTTAAAAGCCTCTGTCAAAACGAGATGCTCCATTTTAGATAAGTGACCATATAATCCCCTGTTCAAGATATCAACTGGACAAATACATGGAACAACGTCATACTTATTGTCCAATAGTTTGTTTCCTGATTTCCGATTTGTTTGACATAGAACTTAATGGAACACATCAATATAGTTTTGACCGGGCCCGTTACATAGGTCAAAACAAAATCATCGAGGGGTCCAAGATATCTCTTTTAATCCTCCAAGGACTAAAAGGAATAGATAAACTTCGACTCATATGCTTGTACTAACTATTTATCAAATTGTACACAACATCACATTTTATAACATCAAGTTACCAAAGCGTTTTCATACTATCGATGTACAACCAATTCATAGTCAAAAACTCATATATATATATATATATATATATATATATATATATATATAGGTTTGAAGAATTATATGATATTATCTTCTCACAATCACTCGAGATAAATTCCATGGTGTGATACAAGTGAGTGCGGGTTGAATCCAATACTCAGACCTTATGAGCACACATGAATGTTGCCTCAAACCAGCTATGTATAATACCATTCAGACAAATCTACAACCAAATTAATGACAATCTTGATTCAATACCTACTTTCAACATATGATCGAATGTGGATAGTTTGAATAATATGATATACCATAACATAATTATTTTGGAAGTGAAAACATGCAAAATGAAACAATAGTAAATGATTGACACAGGATAGTACCATACTAGTAAATAATAAGCACCTTTTATTTAAGCATCAAATGTTAATTACATTTCAACTATTACAAGTTTCGAGAGCTATCTACTCACTAAAACTAATCTCATCCTTTTTCCCAATGTTCGTCGCATGTTGTAAATGCTTAACCCTACTCATTCCATTAGTGAAGGGATCTGCTCGGTTCTCATCTGATGATACCCTCTTTGCCACAAAGTGTCCTTCTTCTATTTGATGTCTAACGAAGTGGTATTTTTTGTCGATGTGCTAGGATAGCCTCTCTGATTGCTGCAGCCACCTCCGCGGCAACAATCCTGCAGATCTTATCATCACTAGCACTTGGCCTCTCGGGGTCGCTGGAGCCTGAACTTAGGTAACCACCATACTGAATCATATAAGAAAATTATCAAAAAACAGGCTAAAGCATAGTTACCAATACTCTCAACCTTATAATCTCTTTAGTCCCTTGAGGTTATTCCTCGAGCCGCGTACGAATCTAGTGCGTCCAATAGTACGGGCCCAATAAAACCTTCCATACCAACCCGTATTTGTCTCGAGTCGTACCCTCAAGAACCTAAGTTACAAGGACTCTACCTCCTCATATCAGCTTAGAACTATCCATGTAGGTTCCTTGGAACAACTACTAAGCATCTAGACACTAACTCTAGACTACTCCCTAGCACTACTCCGCCTCCTAAAACCTCCATTGTCCTCACCATTTGTTACGCGTATGCCAATTGTACATAGTACGAAATCAATAGACATTCGAATAAATGATCCTATCTCAAATCTACAACCAAACAAGGAACAGGAAGAAAGGCTGAATTAGGCATTCTAAGGCTATAAAATCCTAACTATGTACAACTATGTAACATACATTAAGCAAATAGAAAAGACAGATTCAATCTCACAAGAATGAACTCCTAGGCTAAGGCATCACAAATCAGGTAACAATTCACACTAACTCTGCAAGATTCCTTAGCTTACCTCTAGCTAGCATACAATTATACCAACTCATAATATAAACATATTTGCTCTTCAATACTCAAGGTAAAATTGAGGTATTTTTGGAAACTGCCGCTCAAGCGCTAGTTGATTGTACACACTGCTTCTCTGGGTTTTTCCTCCTGTAAAAGTCTTTATTCCTTGTTAAGTTCTTAAAATCTTTCACATCTTTAGTTTGAGTTTGGAATCACCCAGAGGTTCATCCAAATCCTTGAAACCAGGGCTTTGATACCAAACGGTAACACCTTAAATTTTAGACCAATTTTTTCATTTTTAAGTTACCAAAAATGATAGTTTCACAAACAAGTTATCAAATACATGATTATCCCAAAACAACAAGTATCATAATTTTCAGAGTTCTTAAACATGTCCTAGTAATAAATTCCCCAGTGATTTTGTACAATCGGACCTTCACCTTCCCACAGTCCTATGAAGTACATGCCACATATAAATCAACAACTATAAGCACACAACTTAGTAAGTTCCCCTAGATACCACATATAACACAACATAAATAAACAACTATGGGTTATCCGCAACCCTAGGGACGATCAGCAGTCCCAGTGAGCTAACAGCACGCCCGGTGGGTTATTAACAACCCTCGTTGGCTATTAGCAGTCTCAATCACATATAATTATCATAACGTAACATAATAGGTAGACCCAACTGGCCATCATAAATACAATTATCCTACCATACAGGTAAGAGTAAGTGAAGAGACTCACCTGATACTAACGACATGAAAACCTAGCACTCGAACTATCGGATCTAGACTCATCCTAGTCAGAAAAATAATTAACCATGATTAATAATTAAGGTCAAACCTCACTTGCAAGTCCAAATCCGACAACTAAACCTTCCAAGGGCAAAAGGACAATTTTGCCCTTCCCATGGTTCAAAAACCCTAAAACTTGACCAAGGGTCAAAGTCAACACTCAACGAGTATGCTGAGCGTACTACTCCATATGTTGGGCATACAACTAAGTCATCATGCATCAGGGAGGATATGGCTACGCTGTGTGTAGCCACGAGTACGCCCGACGTACTCCATCAATCTCCAAATCCATTAATTTGGTGTCTTAATACTTTAAGACAACCAACCCAACTACATATCTGACTAATTTAAGACCTCATAATCCATAAATTTGTGGGCTTTAAGCCATTTCATGGCTAGGAAAGTCTCAAAGCATCAGTTCATCCATTATAACCTACTTTACTCATACATTGGCCAAATAGGAAGATAAAGCAAGCATTTTTATAAATTCAAATATCCTAATATGTATGAAAGGACAAGTTAAACCCTCTGGAGAGTCCCAAACTCAAAAATATCCAAACTTGGGGACTTTTAGCTCATAAATCTTAAACCAAAGAAATCTAGAAGAATACATGCCAAGGTATAAGCTTTATACCCGAAATGATGCACAAAGGTGGGAAGTTTCTGGATCTTCAAGCTTGCTAGCACCTTCTTCTTCTTCTTCTTCTTCTTCTTCTTCTTCTCTAACCTCTTCCTTCAACTACAAGAGCCAAGAACACTCAAAACTTGCAACAACACACACACACAAGCCACTCACAAAAGATTCAAATTTATGGGAGGGTTGGAGGCTGATAAGGGTAGCCAGAAATGAAGCCATAATGTTCCTTAAATAGGCGCAACCCTTAAAATTAGGGTTTTACATCTGAGCTAGTACACCGAACATACCACATGTATGCTTAATGTACTAGTTGGCTCTCCGCGACCATGCAAGCTGCATGAGTACGCTAAGCATACTCATATGTATGCCCCACGTACAACCCCTTTTTGCAAACTTTTTCTATTAGGGACCAAATGTGACACTTTTGATGAAGATTCAAAGAATTATAAAATGTACCTTATTTCGGGATGTTACATGAATTGTAAGAACACAATGAACATGGTGATTTAGGTGCTAAAATTATTGTATTACCAAGAGTTATTATAAAATGATATTGCTAATAACATATCATCTTATAGGGTCACACCTTATAGCATGTTACCACTAATTGATTATTAATAAATATATGAACACTTGTATTTAACTGGAAAAACATTATTTTATGAAAATAGTATTTACCAATATATTAGGAATTATTGTTTGTAGAAAATAATAATAAAAGAGAACAAAAACTAGCTTAATATTATATACTATGTACATTAATGTTATGTACAACTTTTTGGGCACTTAGAGCAACCATTTAGTTAACTTCCAACTAGTTAGTTATGGGTTAAGTAAAAAAAAAAAAAAAAATTTTTGTCTTTTTTTATACATATGGTTGAATTTTTATAGTCTTGGAAAGTAGATTGCCTTTTGACTTGTTTAATACTTAATATGATTAAAGGTATTGCTAGTTGGAGTGTTGAATTGTTTATTACTCCTCTCATGCTTGTAAGAAAGCCTTAATCTTTCACTTCATTGTCTTGACTTTACTACACATTGGATATAAGAAGGTCTAGACTAGTGAATGTGGTTGATCTTTTTTTGCTGACTTCTTGTTCTTTTGCTTCCATATGTTCGAAAGCATCATGGCTCTCCCCTTTCTGCCTTGTCTTGTATTTTGGTGCTAGATTGAAGGTTCTAAGTGTTGTTTCTCTTTAAGCATATTTTTGGATATGTCTTAAAGCTTAAGAACAACTTAATACAAGTGAAAGACTAGCATCTAATGGTGGTTCAACTCTTGCTTGATGGATACATTATAGAGAACATATCATTTGGAGTTTCATGCCATATTTCATCAACTTTCAATATCTCATGAGAATCAAAGTCTTCGAAGTTTGTAATAGTGTTTATATGGTTGTTTTAATATTACTAAGTTCTTGCAAAATGATCATTGGTGAGTTAAAATGGTTTTAGTTTATTCAAACAATAATGCCTCCTTTGCTAAACTCGTAGTTTTGACTATTTGTTTCAAACTATATTTGAATAAAAACCCAACACGTACTAACGTAGGGCGACGATTCATCTTCTTCGATATCACACAAATTATCGGTCGAAGATATTAATGACGACACACGCTTTAGCGACAACACCAAGCGTGTCCGGCATGATGTCGCTGTTAAGGCCCACATCACCGCTAAAGGTGACTTTTCTTGTTATGAATTATAGATTGTAGTTATCTGTATTTCTCCCTAAAAACTAAGTCACATAAGATTTACTATTAGCAAACTTGAATTATTGGTAGTTTGGATGAAATGTTATAGTTAATGTAAGTCCTTTTGGCAAACATGAATTTAATGTAATTGTTTTTTTCATAAACTATGCATAAGAATTGGGTTTTTTTTTTTCAACATAAAAAATTAATAAATATGGCGGCTTTTGTTATTTTAGACAAATTTCATATAATATTTGTGCTTTAAAAAAAGTCTTGCTACTTTAGGGTGACTAATTAGACACCTGGTATTATTTTCATGGCTTTAAAACTTGCATCGTACTACAATTAATCTACTTTGGAAACATATTAGATCACGTAAACACTTTGTGTTGTTTTGATATTTGAAGGTGCATTTGGAAACTATTGAGAACCTGTCGAGCTCACTTAAAGATAGGACCAAAAGCGCATGCTTGTTGGGAAGTTGTACGGCGCTCAGGATACTTGAAGACGCGTATTTTTCTTGTACAATACGCCAAAATTAATACTCTATATATAGAAAAGGATACACAGTGTGGTCGTCATAACTATAACACTCTCTCTCTGTTCTAGATATTTCTCGTTGGGTTTTTCTCCTATTTAGAACTTGGATTAGGGTTACGTTTTAGTGTTCATTAGCAATATATTAAGAGTTGAAGCAACCTTTGCTAGTTCAGCATGTAAGTTTCATTGTTTTGTCAAAAATCTGTGCTAGCTACGTATAAGTCATCAAACGTTTTGTGGTTCAAAGTCATTGAAGAGATTTTATATTTAGTTTGTTTGTTATTTGTGGTTCTTGGCTTACGTTAACGTTCTGTGTGTTTAACGCTTTCAGTTGGATAGGTTTCTTGAAGGATATCTACGTTCTTGGGTTGAATCTTGATACCAGAAGTGCAATTGTTGAGAAAATATAAGTGATTTTGGAGTCGAAGGATACACTCATCTGTGAAATTTGACACCCTCGTTAGGAATTTGATAAGAACTGCTCTCCATATAAGGTATTAACTATTAACATGCAACATTTGCGTTATTGGTTCATGTTTTTAAGTTTATGAGTTTCTTTTCTTTTACGTTCAAATTAGTGGCGAATCTGCTGATTTTATTTAACGTACTTCAGAGATTTCTGTTTATAGATAGGATTTTGATTTTACGGATAACCCATTTCTTATATGATGTAATGAATTCTCGTTTTCACAGAGAATATTCCAAGGTGCTGCAACGAATTGCTAAGAATACGGATATGGCACATTTAGCCGGAATGGACGCAATTACTCTAACAAAACTGATTCTAGATGCACATACCAGAGCTGCGGAGCATTCAGACGCATGCGAAGATCTTTTCAGACGTGTGAAATTTGTTGGAAATCTGCTTGTTGAGCTAAGAGTACGTGATCTCAACGTTTCGGCAATAAGAAAACCTTTGGTGGACTTAGAGGAGGCCCTCCGCAGGACATATCTCCTTGTAGCTAAAAACCAAGAACACAATTATGCCTATAAATTTGCCTTGGGGTGGAAAATTAACAGAAAATTCAAAAAAGCCCTCAAAGAATTTGACACGATTATTAGTATCATAACACTGATTTTTTTTGTAGACTATAACCGGGCACGTCAGGTACTGTTCCTTGGTTCTGACATTTACCTTAATTTTGTTAAGTGTTTTTTTTTTTTTGGGGCGATATGTTTATGATTATAAATTTATAATTTGTTTGTTTATTATAGATCACCAATGACAAGGAGATACCATTACAAGAAGGTTATTGTGGGGATAAAGTTGATGATGGAGAAGTTAATCAGAACGTGTCAGGCGATGATTTCAAAAGTCCAGTTGACGATGGAGAATTGAATTGTAACGTGTCAGAAGAAGAAGTACGAGAAAGGCGCTAAAGAGACCATATTTCTACTGATTTTCATGGGCACTTTGTTGGAGTTTTAGATACATACTATTGAAAGGATTATAGAGGCTACATATGAATTGTTATTGGGTGATTTCATATTATATTAGCAGGTACACTGCTATTTGTGAAAACTTAGTGCATAAATGAGAATTTCGTATATATTTTTCTTATAAATCAAAAAATTATATTTATACAATATAATTTCAAAATATCAAATTTATCTTTGATAAACTTTTAAAATATTCTAATTTTTTGAAATATTAATATTTTTGTTTTAATTATGTCATGATGTCTAGTTAGACATCCCTCATAGTCTTGAAACATTTCAGAAGTAAAATATTTAAAATTTATTAGAAATTCTTTGAATTTAAAAAAATTTCTTTACAAAGCATAATACTATTTTCAAGTTTGATCTAATTGTGGGATGTGACATCATACACAGTCTTTTCTTTGCCTTCAGTTTCATGTACACATTTAACAACATATCTTTATACCAATAATTTGGTTACTCTCAAGTTCAACAATCCAAAATACTTGCAATATTCATTGGCATTGTGTTAACTACTGCAATATTAACCCAATAGAGCTGCATATTATTCAACATACCTGTAGCACCTGGTTTCCGGTATGTGAATTTTATTTGAGTATTGTCCTATTTTAGCCTTGGACTCGGCGAGTCACAAGGTTCGACTCGCCGAATAGGGACGAGACCCGGGACACGTTTAAGTGGGCGACTCGGCGAGTCCATATCCTGGACTCGGCGAGTCACCGCTGTTGGATGAAACCCTAAGTTTCAGGGGTTTGCACCCTATTTAAACCTCATATCTGCCTCTTGCCAGCCCCCATTCACCCCCAGAGCTCCCAACCCTCGACCTAACTCGTCCTAAGCTTGTTTCTTGTGAATTTGAGGCTCTTGTGTGGATTCTTGAAGGTTTTGAGGCAAGGAGGGGAAAGAGATCAAGAGGAAGGAGAGCCATCCAAGCATCATTGTGTTTTTCAGCAGGTTTCATTGAGGTATATCTCGTTTTCCCCCTGTTTCTATGCTTAAGATTTCATTTAAGGCACTCTTGAGCCATTCCCCAAACTTGTTTGTGCTTAATGTTTCGTAATAAGTGGGTTGGCCTTTAGATCTAGACAAGATTGAGCTCCAAGAGCTCAGATCTGTTAGCTTTATGGACCCATGTGGCTTGTTCATCCTAGATCTATCCTTTTTGAGGCATTTTGGACCCTAAAATCCATATTAGTGAAGATCCACACGTAAAGTTGGAAACTTTACGTATGATTCGTGTCTTAGAATCCCAGATCTATGAATGGCATGAACTGAAATCAAACAAATCGGTGTATCTAGTGGATGCATGGCGACGACTCGGCGAGTCATTCATGTGACTCGGCGAGTCGGCTCGCGAGTCACCAAATTGGTCCCTTTTAGACGTATCGAGTTGAGCCGTGAGTCACAGGGGGTGACTCGGTGAGTTGAAAGTTGGACTCACTCATGATAGGACTCGGCGAGTCAATGCCTGACTCGGTGAGTCCAAGGCAATCTTCATAGATCAAGAACAGACTCGACGAGTTGTTCATACAACTCGGCGAGTCTTAGCATATGTGTTCTTAGGATGAAGATGAACTCGACGAGTTGTTCATACAACTCGGCGAGTAGGATGAAGGAGTTGAATGACAGTTTAGAAGATGAACTCGTCGAGTCATAGCCCAACTCGACGAGTAGAATCAGGGACCCAAGACAATAGTTGCTAGGGACTCGGCGAGTGGAGATCCACTCGGCGAGTCGGGTCAACTAAAAGTTGACTTCGATTTGACTTAGGGCTAGACTAAGGGTAAAATGGTCTTTTTACCCAGAGGACAGTTAGCAGTGTATAATTAAGTATATTGTGGCAATTACAGCCGGGGAGTTTCCGGAGCAGCAACAGCAGTAGTAGGTGATCAATTCCCACACATACCAGCAGCTATTTCGAGGTGAGTTTCCTTTCAGTAGTAACGGGTCTAAGGCACCAAGGCCGGCCCGTATAGATGAGACGATAGTATTATAGTGTGGGCCGAGCCCGTATCTATTAGTCGCGTTGATTGTGATATTTACCAGTATGATAGAACTGTTTACACTTGTTGTCTGCGTGATACTTGTATGATATGTGTTGACGGTTGGGTGTGGGCGAGGCCCGTATCCCTCCGAGAATGGAGTGTGGGCTAGGCCCGTATCTCCCAGGTAGCGAAGTGTGGGTGGGGCCCGTATCTTCACGAGTGTGGGCGGGGCCCGTATCTCTCAGAAAGTGAGGTGTGGGCGGGGCCCGTATCTTCACGAGTGTGGGCGGGGCCCGTATCTCCTAATTGCATGTTAATTGTTATATGTTGTATGGTATGGGGTATTATGAGGGAGCTCACTAAGCTTTGTGCTTACGGTTTCAGTTTTGGTTTCAGGTACCTCCTCAGCTAGGGGAAAGGAGCCGGCACGGTAGCAGCATGTCACACACACACTCTTCGGTTTCCGCATTTACGAGATTCACTGGGATTGTACTCTGATATTTGATGGGTTGTATGGTTTGATTATTAAAACATGGTTTGCGATGTGTTATGGCGTGATCAAACAATGTTTTTATTTATTAGTGTTTTCTAAAAGTAGTATTTTAAAATGAAATTTTTGGACATGAAAATTGGGTCGTTACAATACCTTATAAATAATATATCTTGAAAATCGTTTTCAAGGGTTCTTGTTCGTCCATGATATGGACACCTTGTTTCTAACACCAAATTCACATTGTTCAACGCACCTTATTTCAATCAGTTTATTTGATTAAGTTAGCACTTGATTTTAAGTCAATACACCTTCTTCTGAGTAGGTCTTGGGCTTCTTTATTCAATCTTCCTAGAAGGTTCATGAAGTCTTTTATCCAATCTTTCTAGATGAGTCATAGACTCTGATAAAACTTTCCGACTTCTCCGAATGGGTCTGTCATGGTCATTACATATACAAATACAACCACTTCCCCAACTTGGTCAATTATGGTCATTACATATACATGTACAAATAACATATAAAATGTGTTAGTGTAACTCATGACCTTATTAGTCTTTATTCAATTACGTAGATCGAGTAACGGGCAGGCATAACAACCACGTATCAACATATAATACTATACTAGTTACTGTCATATCATAGCAGCAACTATATTCTTCATTAATATTATTAATACGAATTAGCTATGAAATAAGGATTGGCCAGTTAACACAGTTAGGAGGCAGGACCATTTTGGCATATAGTTTTTTCTGAATTTAACGACTAGACCAACGTTTTTATCCTAGGCACTACTCTCGTAACTAGCTCAATTATAACCAAAATTAATGAATAATCTTATACTAACGATGTTAATAAAAACGACAATGTATGTTCTCTAATAACGGGCAACGTACCTGACTGAAGTTTAACTCGAAATGTTGCGAACGTAAGCTCCACTAATCTCCTTCTTATAATGAATCCTTCCAATGCTTCAAGCATTTTACTAACGATATATGAGAGAAAAATAACCAATCAATAGGAAGAGAGTTTGAGAGAGAGAGATTAAAAGAGAAAGAGATTGACAAGCAGTGAAGAATAAAGAGCTTAACCCTCTTATTTATAGGTAGGAAATTCGATCGACGTGTCACACCTAGACAAGCAACACATCACGTCCCTGCATCGGAGCCAGTCCCATCATTCGTCTTAAATATTGTCTGGGATAAGTGGATTGTTGGACCCATTTTGATCGGCTGATGTGTAAAATAGTAAGAACGTTAAGTTAAACTGTTATGAAAATGATGAACAAAGGGAGATGAGTAATCCGCTTATCAATAGAAAGAGATTAGCATGTCAATACAAAAAGTGTAAGAACTCTAGTGGTGGGAGATTTTTCCCTCCCTACTCAATATAATAGACAAAGACTACACTTTAATGAACTCAAATAAATGACTACTCACCCTCTATTGATATGGAGAGAAGTACCATCTAGTCTAGAAAATAAAAGGGTATATAACAACCTAACCATCACTCAACATTGTAGATCATTTTTGTGCTCCAACAGTCTCCCCCTAAAGGCTTGGAAATTGTGAGGGATAAAAATCTAGTGAGTATAGGCTAAAATACATTATATATGAAAAGTAGGTTTAATGTTGAAGGCTTAAATATCTTCGGCTTCAAGAAGTCTGAGAAAATCATAAAGCACACATAAAATTATCAATAGAACCTGCTTAAAGTATGAAACATCCTATGTCGAGTCTGGATGATAAATAATCTAATATCCGGGACAAATCTAGTAAGACCATAAATTTGACGAGTGATTATAAAAAATAAGTACCACATCACATCACTAAATGAGATCATCATATTCAAAAGTCTCTAAAATCCAAACATACTACTGGTGTGAATAATTAATAATAAGGATTCAGGGCAAATTTAGTGAGGCCAAAATTTTATTAGTGATAACTAAAAGTCAATGCCACATCCATCACTAAATAAAATCATCATCTTTAGAAGTATCAAAAAACCAAACATAGAATACATGTAAAAGTCAGATATGGATGCTCATAACATTTTCCCCTATTTTTGATCGAGAATGCAATCAAGATTAGGAATAAACAAGTAAGAGAATCTGATATATAAGGAGCTTTGCATGCTCCCTCTAAATCTAAGAAGGTTCTCGATAAACACAACAAAAAGTATATTAATATTTCCAATATCGAGTCCGAATGATAAATAATATGATATCTGGGTCAAATGTATTGAATCCAGAAATTTGATCAGTGATTATAAAAAATCACTACCACAACACATCACTAAATGAAATCATCATCTCCAGAAGTCTCAAAAATTCAAGCTCACCGTTGGTCTAAATAATAAATAATTTGGATTCGGGAAAAATTTAATGAGGCCAAAATTTTGATCAGTGATGACCAAAAATCCATGCAACATCAATGACTAAATAAAATCACCATCTTTAGATGTCTCGAAAATCGAAACATAACCATAAAGTAAATATTAGACATGGATGCTGATAACATTCTCCCATATTTCTGATCGACAATGCAATGAAGATCATGAA